ATATTATATTATTATTGTACAACGGGTGTGTATCGCGCGGAGTGGGGTAAAGATGTGTGTACTGCATACAAGATTTTCATCCTTGGAAAGAATTTCGTACAGGGTTTTGGAGATTTATCGATTCACCGAGACACACCTGAGTCTTGTTATAGGTGGATACCTCTTTAACCGTACACACTCGCGAGTCAGACAACAGGGCACAATAATAAGCGTAGGTTCCTGTACATTTTGGGTGCGTGTGTGTGAGCACGTGAAATGTAAACATTTTTCACTACCTGCGACGAGTGTGGGCTCGTCGTATGCATCGAACGTCGTAGAAGACGCCACAGGGCGTTTTATTTCTTTTGCTTTTTTTTTGTACATAATAATAATATTATAATAAAAGATAACGCGCTTTTAATGTTACACTTACAATTTTCAAATCACAACAATACGAATCGAGACATTGACGGAGGTACAACTGCAGAACGACTGCAACAGTTTGCAGTTCTCGGAACCACCACGGGTCATGGCTTCAGTAATATTATTATTATGATAATATGATAGTACGTACATTATATTTTAAAGTTTTAAACGTCGTTCAACTGTTTAAGACGTCGTTAATATTTAAATATGTGTGCTGAAGAGTAGAACGCGGGACGGCTCCCATTGTATGATACTGATAGATAAGGTTAAGTGATATAGGACGTCATAACAACAAACGTTTACAGCTGTCACGGGAATATAATACGGACGGAGAAGTTAAAAAATAAAAAAAACACCATTATATATACAATAGCCATTAATCATCCTCGGACAGAGCTGGTTTATATTATATATTATTATATTCACGATGGTTATAACTTATAATAATGTAATGTATAGATATAATAATATATGAACAGACATTGGTCCGAATACACAAATAATATTTTTCAAAATATTATAAGATATTGGAGTCTTGAAAATCCCAGAGTAACTGCAGAAATAGAAATTTTTTTTCATTTTTGGCGTCATGAGTGACGGGGGAGGGTGGGACGACGACGACAAATTTAATAACAACATAATAATATAATATAAAAAGGAGTTTAAGCCCCCCTCTCCTCGCCCACCTTACATAAACGCGAGTGCATTCGGAATGTATACAGTGTGGCGCGGTTGTACCTTCGTCATTCCGAGGTGACAGCTGTCTAGGAATCATTTGTAAAACGGTTTTTTCTTTTATCTCCTGTTGTATACAACGAGTTTCTTACCTGTCACGTTTTTAAGGATTGGCATGTACGTGCTATATACACACTAGTTTTATTTTTTTCTCGTTCTAACACCAGTGATTGTGTTTGAGTTATTAGTGTGTATTTGTCAATTGTCATAAGTATAAGAGAACACAATCGGTCGACGCTTAACAAGCTGGAGCTAGTTGCAGATAGGTATATAGAATGAATACGTAATTATCCCCCCCCCTCCGTCCTCGAGCATCGTACGTGTATATATTATGTATATATAGGCATATAGATACCTATTACATATTATATTCTTAACCGGTAAACGAAAACAATCGCTTCGGTCCAGAAACACTTATTATCCGCAAACATCATGTACATATTATGTACGGAAGCTTAAGTGTAATTTTCGACGCCTATTTAATATTATTCGTCCGGAGAGCTGCAGTTCTTATTATATTGTAATCTTTTTAGTTTTCGACACAAATATATTGGGGTGTGCGGATATACATTGTTTCGTATATAAAAAAAAAAATATATTTTTACAATAAAATATAATGAATCATGAATGAAATTTTCAAGAATGATATTGATGCTGCACACCACGTAAATCTATTATTTTGATATGTTGAAAATGTAGGTAATTATTATACAGACGTATAATGTAGCTTAACCATTTCTCGTTCTATAGTATAACATCGTGGTGCTTTATTGTGTACCTACCTACTATGTAGTTACAAACTGAACAATTCATACTGACAATTGTCTGTTGAATAGTAAGCTTGTATTGTTTTTTTGGTTAATTAGTAGAACCTCAAGGTGCCTAAATGGACATATGTACGAATTATTAAAGAACAATGGTTACACAATAGTTAAATATTCAAAGGCACATAATTAGATCGTTTTTTTTTAACTTTCTCATGTTACGAGCGTGTATTTTGTTAAAGAAATACTTCTAATTACAAAATAATAATAGAAGTTGATCGTTAGCACTTAGTTTTAGTAATACAGCATACAGTAGTAGTCAAACGATTCGAGATTTTGAATTATTATTATTAAAAAAAACCAAATAACACAGTCGTTACTCGTTATGTTTTTATTTGCAAGACTGGGGGGACGTTTATTTTTAAAAAAAACCCGCATAATATTATTGACCCATAATGAATATTATGTTTAAACAACCACACAGTGTTAAGTTGGTAAAAATAACAGTCCATTAATTTGATTAAGGGGTTATGTACATTTAATAGAAACAAATCGTCGAGTTCAAACATTTAACTATATTTAATATTTACAGGGATACATTTAAAAAGGGTTGTCTTGGTATTTCGAATCAACAACAGGAAGTGAAGATTGACAAGTACTTTGAAATCCCTAACGACACGTCATTTGACAATTATATTAAGTCAGACGGGTGTCACAGACACAACTGTGTTATGTTGAACCGAAAAGAGTTCAAAAACAATAATTTTCGTTTAACCCACTTCATTATTATGTTGAAATACAAACTATCGTTCATCAATAGAGTCTTTTTTGTTTTTTAACTAATGATTTCCACTTTAACACAATAAATAATAACTATACAAACATAACACGAATTATAACCATACGAAATGTAATAAACTCGATAAGTTCTATACTTAATAAAAACAGTTAGCACAATGAAGTTTGAAGAGCTTAAACATATTTTTTAGTCATTGTAATCGAGGGAAAGTTAATGGGAATTGCATAATCGCAATTTATGGGTGTTTTTTGACGTACTTTGAAGTGTAAATCCAGTTTCTACCCCGTAGTGACGGAGAATAATTTTATTGTTTATCGTACAGTACCCAGTAAATCACACCGACGAATAAATAATTATAATAACTATAAGTAATTCCATTATTATTAATTTGTTTGGATTTGCTTTTATGGTTGGTAATAATTATGTTATGTGCACGTGTGTGCATTCATAATATACATATTATCAGAAACTTGGTTTTTTTGTTTTTAAATAACTAAAAATAAAAATAATAAAGTATACAGGCAAATGTTTAGCTACTTATGGCGGGAAAATTTTAAAACGAGGGTCAAGAATTATTATACCTCTATAGCTTTATTCATTCAATAGATTAAACAATATTAAATATAATATAAGGTGCCCTACCGACTACCGAACCTGTACCCTACTCTACTATGGTATTTGTTAGTATAATACTGCTATATAGTTTACTCCAGATCTTATAATATACTAATATATATTTTTCTTCAAACAAAAGTATACAGGAGAGACGTTATTTTTTTATTGATTTTTACCTTTTGATTTACAAGACCAATTAGTGATAATTTATCGTTTTAAAATAAATGCGGTTGTATTGAAATAATTATTGAATAATGAATATTGTTTCATATATTTTATTTTAAACACAAATAAAATAAATGGTTTTGATTATACATAAGTAACTCGTTTCATAAGCTATAAAATATAATATGAAGTACCTCTTTGAAGTAGTTAATACTTTGCAAATTGCGAAAAAACAAACCAGATCTTTAATGTAAATATTTAGCAAAGATGTGCGAAAAAAAATAATACGAGTATTGAGTATTTATGGAGAAATAAAACAATCCTATTTTTAACGACTGAACTTTGAAAATAGAATTTATTTTGATTGTTATTAATATACCAATATTTTGTTACCGACCAAACAAAGTAATATTTATCGTATCATTGTTGCTTTTTAAAATAAAAGAAAACTGTTTAGTTTAATCATTGATGAGACTCAAGTATTATGAAAAAATTTTTTGTAAGGTAGATAATATATTTTTAGTGGGTTATGTAACTATGTATATAGTTGGCTGGTTAGTAAAAAATACAATAATATTATACAGTTGGTGGTCAGTTGAGAGTTCGTCACACAATTGATGATATCATTCGAAATGTCTGTAAGTATTTTTCAGATATAATTCATTAGAACTCGGAAGGTAAACCAAAAAGACGAATCAGCATTTAAGTGAAACATAAAACCACAGCAGAGCGACCGCGCCGATACCGGTTAGTGATTTTTTGTTATTCTTAATTTTATTATTGCAATGTTGTTATTATTGGTTTTGAAATCCATTTTGACATTTCGTAGAATCAAGTCACTCTATAACGTATTTTATCTGGTAATAATATATAATATCATATAAGGACGATATAAAAAAAAATCAAAAAAATCTGTGTATTAAACAGTGGATGTATAAAAACGACATATAATGTACATACCTACAATAATTATTATTGAAAGTAAACAAGAAAATTGATTTCAGAACAGCACAACTTCTTGCATTGTGTAGCATACACTATTATGTGATAACAGACCATCGTAAAATGTTATCGCGGGCGATACGGGGCGTATACTTACTAGATGCACACGATATTCTAATTTATAATATTTATAATGTTTAACCGAGTAGATACGTTTCACACGTGCGGCTAGTGTGTATTCTAAACCGCACACGCATATTAGATATACCTCATACATATTATGTATAGGTGTATTCGATTTGACTAGAAAATGTTTATAGTAATAAACCGGTTTGTGTGCGTTAAAAAACCCGAAAATCCCTCGTCCGGGCGGCGACTTAAGAATAAGACGGTACGATGGATGATAGGTACATTCGGTATATATAATATCGGTATGCAGTCGTCGCATGACTTAAGCGTAGGTCGCACGTCTATGACTTCGTATGACGTCGAATTGACGTGTAAAAGAGTCTCGTTGTATTATTATCGTTTCGGTCTTCAGGACGATAATCTATATTATGATTTCCATCACTCACCTGCGGCGAAAGAATACGGCGGTGACTGGCCAAGGGTTAGTGCAGGAGACGATCCTGCGGCTTCGTCCCGCCGTTCGCACTCGAAACGAACTCATTTGCGGCGCGGAGTCGCATAATAACAATATTACGAGTATTACTGTATTGATTTAAACGAACAAAAAATTACAACAACAACAGCCACTTAAATATAATAATACAATGCGGTGTACTCTATTGAAGCTCAGTGTACATGGTCGCATTTAATTATATCATCGAACAATTATTATCAAAAGTCGATGTTATTGTCATCTATACACGAAAAAGATCGCGCCGCGGCAAAACCGTTTCCTGAGCGACGAGATTCGACGCGCTAGCGCACGGCACGGACGACGTTGGACGACTGGTGCTCCGCGCGAGTATCACAATAGTACAACAACAGTGGTCTCCGATCGGTCGTCTCGGATTTAATACTACTACTGTGCGTGCGTGTGAGGCGCGTCGTCGTTGTGTACTTGTGTGTATATAATAGTCGTCGTGTAGTGGTCGGCCGCCGCCGATATATTATTTCACCCGGTTAACGAGGCGATTCGAAATCGTTCGGGAAACGAGTCTGCCGCCGCATGAAAACGGTCAGAACCTCTTGTGCGTGCGTGTGTGTGCGCGCGTGTATATATTATATTACTAGCGTACGCACATTGTTGTTTGGAATGACGTGGTGGACCAGCTGGTTGGGGTGGCCGCGGGGGAGGGGGGTAGACGAGAGGCTGTGCTGTTCGTAGAGCAGGGCGTTTGTGTGCGTGTGTGTGTGTGTGTATGTGTGTGTGTGAGAGCCTCGGGCTCGGTGGGTGGTGGGGTGAAGGTGAGAGGTGAACGGCGCAGATGGTTTTTTTAGAAAATAATAATAATATTATTTATACTTATATATATATATGTATATTTGTGTATGTTTAAACACAATAATACGCGGGCGTCTTTTGCCCGGGTTGGCTCTGTTAATCGTGTATCGATCGGTTGCGGCTCGACGACGACAAGACGACTGTGTTAAATACGCGGGCGTGTTGTGGCCGATGAACGACTCGTTTAATATATCGCGGTGAGCAGTCATTGGAATTTTTGTCGTTTTTTTTTTTACTCCTTTTTTATACATACTGGCACTGTTTTACGCTCCGATTGATGAAATTTAGTAGAAAAAAAAATAATAAACACGCGCTGGCGTAAAAATACCTTAACGACGACGGGTCGCTGCGAACAGTCACTCAATTATACGATATTATTATTTTGTATATCTTATACATTTATATATATGTATATACCGTCCATGGCACCTATCGTATATACAAATCGCCCACGAAAAAACAACACTGCAGCAACATCGCCGGACCGCGTGAGAGACTACAACTCCCGGGCCGGCCGTCGACGGATTTAGTCGCCAGCGTTTTCGCCGCTACTGTACGCCGAGGCTGAAAGCGCACCGATGATGACGCGAGTGTGTGCACTGTTTACTTACCATAACCTATTACCGGGTTACGACTGGCGCACAAGTGTATAATATAAACCCCGGTCTATTATGACGACGCTTGATGTGTGGTGTTGTGTGCGCTTCAAGTGTAAACCGAAGAAAGTCTTATGGATTTCTCTCTTTTGTTTTTATTTACTTTTTCTCATCCTCCCGGACGTTCCATGGGTTTCCATGGATATTACATATATTATAAGAAAATATAACTTATCAAATATTTTGTCCTTTTGATTTTCAAACGTATCTGATGGTAATTGAAATCGTTGTTGTATTGTCCACGACCATTGGGTTAGCATTATGTGCTCTCAGGGCACGTGAGAAAAAAGATTGCCATTTTATGTGTAGGTAGGTATATGTATATACATTAATATATAGTATATATTTTACACGATCCGATAATTTCGCATTTCTATAAATACGAATCAAGAAATCGATGGATAGAGGAAGGTAGGGTAGGTAGGTACTTAAATACTAAATGGAAATAAAATGTTTTATAACGAGATTAAATCTACACAACGCATCCATTCGTTAAGTGTTCGATGGACAATTTTTTTTCGTAGTATGGTAGTTCCTTTGTAACGTTGCATTAAAAATAAATACAATTGGAATCGGACACATTTAATGAATTACCTTGCAGTGGTGGTTTTATTTTGTACTTATATTTTATTTGTTTCCTTTGCTTAAAAAATTGAAATCAAACTGCCACACCTATATATTTCTAGGGTTATCTTGGCTAAGATATGAAACGGCAATAATTTATGACATCGAGAAACTTGACAGATTCATTATAGTTATTTATGCGTACATTATGAAATAGATGAACGGTGTTAATGAGCTCTTAGAATGAGCCAAAAGATAAAGTTCTTTAAGTTTATTCAAACCTGCTAAACTTCTTCGGTATAAATGGTGAATGTATTGTAGATAATTAATAATGAAATTACTGCTGACACCAATTAAATGGGTAGTAGCCAGTAGGTTGTAGGTATAGTACAGTTGTTAGATTTAAAAATTAAAATATAATTTCCCGAATCCTGAGGTTATTCCGATAAGTGTTGTACTGATGTTGTTGTATTATAATCCGGAGGTGCGACGACTTGTAAATTAAAATCGTTGGCTGTTTACTAATGTAATTCTATTGAACAAAACTGCTATTAAGATATTAGTAATATTTTCACGATTTTTTGAATCTTATGTATATAATGATTTTTGAATTAGGTAATAAAATACGAGCAGAAAAAAAACATTTTGAATTGAAATAAATCGAATATTTAATAGGAACGAATACGTTAACCAAACACGAATAAAACATTACTAAAATGTAAATATAATATAATTTACCGTTGTGAAATTTAAAAAAAAATGTAGGCAGGTACACGTGCAATGTGCATAAACACGTAGTCTCTCATACGATATTAAGTATGTTCGTTTTCGTATGCGAGTCTTTTGACGAAATCTTGTTAAAATTAAAACCATTAACAAACAAAATTATCTCAAAACATTAATCATTGTTCGAAGACCGTGTTTTGAATTCATTACTCCCACACAATATTATAATAATTATATAGTGGTATTATATAGTTGTGCTTATATATATATAGTATAGTAGTATACACATAATATTATACATTCTGCTCGTACTCGTGGATAAACAATGACGTGGCGTTTAAACGGTATAGGTATATACGACCATTGTGTTTAATTGATTCCGATAGGAATGTCGTTACTCTCGTAAACTCGTTAGTAAACTGTACTAAACAGTTGTATTAAATGTTCTATAGCATTATAATATTATACTGATTGACGTTGTATTACAGACAGTTTTCAATGATAACATTGATTACTATTATTATGTATTATCATCATTATATTCTGGAGTATAATAGTGATTTTTCGTAACATAATTAATGTATTTCCGACCAGTCTGTATTGCAGGGAATAATAATATTACTCCATGTATAACACACTGTTATACTTCGACGTCGAATATTGGCATCATAATATTATAGTGCATTGTACAATAGAGGTATTAATGTATTATAATTTGAATATTTTAGTTTCTTGTACTTTCATCCCAGCCAGTAACAACATATATACATCAATTTTCCCGGGAGCCATACGTTCTATATTATAGGTAGGTAATAGGTATTATATCTATACGAACCTACTTAACAACTATATAGTTTAACGCTTAACGAAGTAACTGTATAATGTAATAATTTTGTACTTGCGTTTTATTGCATTAACTACTGATCGTTATCACTATATAAATGTGGCGGGTAGTGTTTTGATGGAAAAAAAATATACATCAAATACCCCAGGGGCTTAATTACCGAATAATATTTGACTAGAGATTGTATTATGTGTGAATAAAAACATTGACCAGTTAGTATAATAATAATATTATTTATTAAATTAACCACCATTAATAATTAAGGAAAAAAATTTGAGAACTATTTAGTAATTAATCTGTTATATTTTTCTATTGTTCGAATCGCATAATATTATGTTACGCTGTATGCATTCATCCTCTTCCCTATCGCCATTGTATATTTTACTTAATCAAAGCACGCTTGCTACTGAGGTATACAATTTACAATCCGAACTTTATCTTAGAAATGTATTTGATATATTATTATAATGTTATTGTAGCGATAAACTGATATTGTATTTAATTTTATTCAAATATCTATATTGTGTTCTCAGGGTTAATAGTTTATATCAAATATTCAAGTCCATCCATGATATATTTATTTATATTTGTTGATAATTATCATGTCCTGGCATAGCATTATATTAAGCGTCCCAGTATAGTACACTAGTCGTTTTTCCGTATCAGACTCGTAAGCGCACAAATAATTTACACGATTTATACGAATTGGAATATTATTTCCTCCGAAAAACGCTTTTGAAATAAACTGTGCAGTGACGTGGGTGTTTGAGCATCTGGTTCATAGTTCTATCGCGAGTTATCCCTAGAATAAATGGTGGACCTTGGTAAATAATAATTGATCAACGGAAATCACACAATAGTTAATTGTAACAGGTTGATTATAATAATGTACATAAATAGCAGATGATTTTTAAGATTACTGCAGTGCAACCCGATGGACATTGATTAATTAATTATCTAAATTAATGTCCCTTTGTTCGAGGAGAAGTTTTAGAAAAAAATATTATGCACTTGCTAGGATGAGTGACTATAAAAAAAACACTACTCGGAGTTCTAGACTCGAATCAGTCTCGGACATTAACCTAGTAAACGCAATTAAATAATTTATATTAAAATGTGATAATTATAATATTATTATACTAGTATCTACATTATACATTGACCTCCGTTCGTAAAACCGTACAAATGTTTTAAGCATCTTTGAAATCGACAAAGACATAATATTATCAAACTCGGTTTTTATTGTTTTATTTTCCGTATAAAATGTTTATACCATACGTATTTTATTGCTTCCGAGTAGTCTATAACTAATAATAGGCAGTAGCTATATGCATATTATACTGAAACTCAATTTTTTGTAATTTCGTGGGCTTGACAATAATAGTATACACACATGATATTTTAATTGTTGAACCTATATAGACTGTTGTTGGTATTGTATAATCTATTTTATGAAATTATACGGTACGTACGATAAAAAGGAAATTAATAACACTTAATGAGTACTGGGAAATATAAGCGAGTTAAAAAAAGTTAAAGTAGGTACTCACAGGTGTATACTTTAGAAGTTTCTATTAAATTGATTGTTTATTTTTTTTTTTTCGTATAATATTAGGTACCTGTAACCTGTTGAATCATTTGATATGCTAGTGCTAAGTATTCACAATTTGAATTCAGGTACATTATATGAATTAGTATTTAACATTCATAAAAATGGATGGTCATTACATATTCTTTGAATACATTTTATATTTGTCATATATGTTTTATATGCCCG